AATATGCATGTCCTTGACCCTTTATACCCCTTCAAGAGTTGCTAGTATCTGAGCCCTCAAGGAATCTCCTGCCCCTATTGGACCAGAAAATATGGCTAACAGATTCACTTTTTCATCTTTTATTGGTCCCCCTATTCCGGATGGCCCTGGATTACCCATACTATTGCCATCAAAATTTAGTTTAGTAAAACTTGAGGTGGAGGAATCTAGCAAGAGCTTGAGGCTTTCTTAGCTGAAGCTAATTCTACGATCTCCTTCCAGTTTCTTAGCAACTCATCAACTAAGAATTCTGCAAACAGGGCCAAAGTTTTCAAACAATGTATCACCCTAATATGGATGACCTCCAAAATTACTTCTAAGCTTCTCCCCATTTTTGAAAAAAAATGTGAATTTCTCTCCCCCCAAGCAGTCTAACAAACTGCAACCCTAATACATCTCCACATAATCTTAGCCCTTTTTGTTGGTCAATTAGGCATGGAAGTGAATAAGCTTTGCACATTCGAGGGGGGTCCACCTGCACCCTAACAAAGAAGTAAACCATTCCCAAATGATTTTAGTAAATTGACAGGAAATTAGTAAATGATATCCAAACTCACCATCAGCTTTACAGAGGGCACACTTGTGGGGAGACAAATAGCTATTGGGTATTTTTCTTTGAAGTAAATCTCCTGCTTTAATTCTTTGGAGGTATAGGATGACACCGCACCTCTTTAACAGGGAAGGACAATCCAACAGAAGAAGGTTGTATTAGGGCTTTAAAGAAAGAAGCACAGGTGAAAGAACCTGAGGGAGTCGGTGTCCAAATTCTATTGTTTGCCTTTGTTGGCTCTAGGAAGACTCCTTCAAGAATGGATAACAAGGATAAAATATAGTCTAATTCTATGTCCCTGATTTCTCTTCTCAAACCCAAGTTCCAACTGAACCCAGAAGCTGAGTTAGAAGGTACAAGGAAGGATGAAACCGGTTCATTTTTAAGTGTGGAGAGAGCAAAAAGACTTAGGAATTGTCCTTTTAAAGAAGAATCCCCAACCCAAACATGTTCCAAAATATTAATGAGGTTGCTTGAGTACAAGTTATATCTGATCCATGGAGAGAACAAGGGAAAAATAGCTTGAATATCTTTTCAGGGAGATGCTCTTGTAGTCCTTGCCAGAATCCCATTGTTTGCAACCCCATGAATACTACCCACTATCTTCACCCAAAGTTTTTATTTCTCTAATGAGAATCTCCACAGTGCCAAGTTCCTATTCCTTATGTTCCCAATACCCAAACCTCCTTCCCTCTTACTCCTATACACCACCTCCCACCTTACCCTATGGTCCTTATTCTCCTCTCCCAGATTCCAGAGAAAGTCTTATTAGTTTCTCTAATCTGCTAGTCACCCTAACCAGAATCTTAAAGACTGACAAAAAGTAGATAGGAAGGTTAGCTAATGTAAACCTGATTAGAGCGATTTTCCCTCCAAGTGATAAATAATTATTCTTCTAAGTTGCAAGTCTCTTTTTAAACCTTTCCACAACCAAAACCCAAAACTCACCTTTTTGAGGATTATCTCCCAATGGCAAACCAAGGTAATTTAAGAGCCAATTAGATATTGCACACTCCAAAATGTCTGTAAACTCAGACACCTCCCCCTCCCCCATATTAACTCCAACTATACAAGTCTTTTCAAAATTCACTTTAAGGGTTGACATTTGTTCAAAGAGTTGTATAGTGAACTTCAGTTTTTGATCCTATTGATATCCTCTTCTTCACAAAAAAGTATTGTGTCATCTGCAAATTGCAAGTGTGTGAGTGCTACATTCTTTCTTTCAACTTTCCAACCTCTTATTAAATCCCTATAATCTGCTCTTGGTGTTGAAAATTTCAATACCACTAACCTGGCATTCCTCACTAAGCTTGCTTAGAACCCTGTCATGAACCAGAATGAGATATGGGTTAAAGACCGAATGGGTAAATATAAGAGGTGCCAATATTCTTGATCCCATTAAGGATCATCAAAGGCAAAACTAAAGGTTTCAATGTGCTAAGAGAAGGTTTAATTAAAGCCATTAGTAATGGGGAAAGAAGATATTGATCTTTGGAGAGATCACTGGCGTGATAGATGTGCTTTAAAAGATATTAGGCTTCCTGGGACCCTTCCTATTATTAAGCTAGAAAGAGTCAAGGACATCATCTCTAATGGTGGAGATTGGGATCTAGCCATGATTTTAGTCCATTACTCCTTAGCAGGTTAAAGACAAGACCACTGCTAATCCTATTTTTGCAAGGAAATGAGGAATCATAGACAAGATCGTTGGATTTGTTCAGATACTAAATATGGTAAGGTGTCTTCCAAGTCTGTTTATAGATTCCTAAGTAAAATGTGAACTGCCCCTTCTTCCCATACGTAGTCTTAAACTCGTTCGGTCTTCTCCTTGACAACCTAGGATGAAATGCTTCCTATGGCTTCTTTACCTTGGCAAACTTTGGGTCGTGTTAAATTTATCACACAAAGGTTTTAATATCCCCAAAGAATGTACCTTATGCATTTCCAGTTATGAAACTTTGGATCATTTATTTAGGAATTGTGACTAAGAAGAGTGCGGAGTGAGGTTCCTACAGCCTTTTTGCTGAACAATAATACTACTCTCAATTTAAATGATTGGATTAAAACCAACTTACGTCAGCTTAAGGATGCATATCTTGCCCTGCTTTGCTACTTAAACTGGTTGATTGGGAATTTTTGGAACAAAAAGATTTTTAACAATAGTTCTAATCCGAGACAGATTATTGTTTCTAGCTTAATCTTATGTTCGAGGTTTTTAAAACCGAACCTGATAATGAACCGTTCAGGAGTCCGATTCCTAGGTCTAATGGTCCGATCGTTCGAATCGAACAAATGGCCTGTTTTGACAAAAAAAATTAAAAATAAAAAATAGTCAAAACTGTTGGACGGTTTAAATGGTTCGAATGGTTCAACTGTCCGGGTCAACAATTTGCTGAACAAATCAACGATTTTTGGTCAAAAGATGGTTCTAGGGTAAAACAGAATTGGTCAGGTGACCGGTTCCTGATTTTTCCGATCCGGTCCAGTTTTGAAAACCATGCTTATATTGATAATCTTGACTAATATTACGATAAAGAACAGAGTTTTATAAACAGGATTTGGAAAGAAATCAGATGGATGGATACCATCAGAACAGCATTAGGTTAAGCTTAACACAGATGGAGCAGCTAAAAGTAGTAAAGGAGAGGCTGTTATTACTTGTTTAGATGTTATGCAGGCCCACTAGGGCAGATGGGGGTGGCTTCATAGCCTTCATTTCTTACATCGGACCAGCTACCAATGATGTGGCAGAATTTTGGGCCATTAAGAAGGGTCTTACTCTTGCTTAGAACTTGGGCTACAAGAATATCATTTTAGAATCAGATTCTCTCTCAACTCTCCATTATGCACAACCCTAGTGGTAGTTGGATTGAAACCAAGTATCCATTACAACCAGCCGAAGAACCCACCAAAAGTTGGTTTTAGTTTTGTCTTCCCATCACCTTCCACCCAAAAAATAAAAGTTCTTTGGAGGAAAGTTATTTTGCCAATACCTAAGTTTCTTTAACTTTTTTTCTTCTTCACGGGGCTACGCAACAGGGGTAGCCCGGCCCCATACTCATAAGTCATAATTCTAGCTCTCCCAGCTCTGGTGGCAGCAGGGTTTGATCCCAGGTCTCTGCTACAAATTCGCCATACACGGTTGCAAATGGTTGAGTATGATGTAAACAATGTCTTGTGACACTGAATCCAATCTCAGCGGAAGAACCTATCAACTGAGCCAACATCATTTGGTATTTGACACGGTTTTCTGCCATAACTGTTCATCTCCCCATTTTCAACCCCATGGCATAACCTGAAATAAACCCTTCCTAGGCCTTAACAAGTTCCCAGCAGAAGAGAGAAATTGATTCCAATGGCTATGCAAGTCCTGACTTGGATGCAACGAATCGAATTATTGGTAGGAGCTCTCTGTGAGACGCAAATCTAAATCTGGATGCAACAAGTAACATCACTATGGCATAATTACCATCAGCCTAGAGCCTCTAAAGAAACCAAGGCATACCACATGACACAAGCAAATCCAACACTATACACACAAAGCAGGACACCCACTGATCAGACGAGAGAGGATCGGCTACCCACAGGCCACACCTAAATTGTGATTAATGGGATAATACGTGAAACCTGAGATGTGCGGCTATTCCCTGTGGATAGGGTGTCGATAGTGTCTAGTGATAGTGAGTAGCAGAACCGAGCTCCCGCCCAAAACCTGAGTTAAATACTCAACGATCAAGTCAAGCTCTAGGTGTAATCGATAAACCTGAACCAACAGTAACGCCAACATATTACTGCATGAACAAATCCCTTTTCTTCCAAAAATTGCCCCTATCATAAGAAAGGCTTTGAGCCACCGAAAAATCAGCAAAATTTGTATATGCAAGTAGACTATATATCTGCAAGGCTTCAACCATTAATCACCTCCTACCGTCGGAGAGTCAAAGCCACATATCATGTAGAATCAGTAACAAAGGAGCCACATATCATGATTTCTAGTAACATAGAATCATGTAACTAGAAATCTATATTATCATCAGGATGAAAAAAAATGTTCCACTTTACTCAAAGAATAACAAATCTTTATCAAGTGACCAAAGAAAGAAATTGACCAACAGCTCCCTAAATGAAAGAGGACGACTGCGAATAAGTTTTCCCAACTAGAAGATTCAACTGCCTACATTTGGATACATGTACTGAAAAGAAATGATCAAGAAACATACAATTGTTTCTGGTTTTCTTTGAATTTTTAAACTAACAGGAACTAGAAAGACCAATATCATGGCAATCATTTATCAGTAGCAAATCCAGTTAAATTAGGTTTACTAGTTTGTGATCGTCCAACAAAGTTACCTTGAGTTCTGTATAGGAAATCATCACAAGCATTCAAGAAAGAAAGAAAAGAGCCTAAACATGTGAAATCTATTTGTACCGAGCTTTAATGTGGACCAATGGAATGACGGTTTACATAATAGGAGCAAAACTATAAACTAAACTAAAGGCATTTATTTATAATTGTAACGTCCTTAATTTATAAGAAGATAAACACCGCCTATCAGATCTAACATTCTTCATACAGGCCAATTCTCTCTAAGATCCACTAAATCCATGTTGATAAAAGGATACAACCGAATTTTCAACGACATAACTTCAAAACAAATAACTAAGAAGTCAAACAAAGAAAATAACACGTCTATAAAAGGATGGCGACAGTTATCCTTCCAATGCATCCTATAAATCACCCAGTCTCAAGATCCCGTGATACTGTTGTATCTTTTGAAGTTGAAGCTTGTTATTCTTGTACTAAGGCAGGCCTGAGAATACAGCAATTAATCAAATGAGTGATGTTCCAATAAATACAAACATAATCATAAATGAAAATGTTTAAAATAGAGCAACAGAAAAAAATGAAAATGTTTCATCTATCAATACTTTCTGGTGTAGATTCTACAGAGATGAAAATTGTAAAAGAAGAATACTGTCGTATTCAGGGTGTGTTATGGACGCATTCCTCGGAAAGATGTACCATCGCCGCCGGCAGCAACAAGAACCTGATCCACCGCCAGATTAGATTAGATCATCTTGCTTGTTCTTATCTTATTCTATTGCTCTTATCTCATCTTGTTGGTAAGTTATCAGATTAGGATTAGTTTATCTTATTATCAGATTAGGATTAGTTTATCTTGTTATCAGATTAGGATTAGTTTATCTTATTATCAGATTAGGATTAGCTTATCTTATCCTTAGCAAGATAGAATTGGAAGTCTCCCTATTCAGCAAGGAGACTCCCTAAGATTAGGACTCTTGTAATCTCCTATTTAATGAGACACCATTATTGAATGAGGATATCGAATATTCAGTCAAGAAAGAGAGTAAATGAGAGTTAGGTGATCTCTTGAACAAATCACCATTAGGGCGCCTAGATAGGTCCATCAAGAGCAGGGAGGAACAAGGGAAAACAGAGGATTTTCCCCGTGGACCGACCCGTGACGAGATCCTATTCCCGGGCCCTCAACAGGGTGTCACAAAATATTTTAATTGAATAACCAATTTATCGAAACAACAAAAAAAATTGCTATTTTTTTCTTCTCTAACTCAATGCCTCTGATTTAACATTTTACCTTTTGAGGTGAACTTTTTGACACAGGATGGGCATGGAAGAGGATAAAAAGATAACAAAATAACCTAGGACTAGGAGTTAGCAACTAAAGCTTATCTAGAACCTGCACTTAAAGGTACTATAGTTTCTTGAAAGAATCAGAAGCATCAATAAAATTAGAACCATTCCAACATTAGAATCAGAACACTAAAACTTTATATCTTCTCTAGAAAAAAGTCCTGTATTTATAAGCAAAAAGGGGAGGTTTGGCCATCCCTTTTACTTTCCTACTTCAAAATCAACTAAGAAAACACTACTAAGAATGGGACAAATCATAGATTCATAGCTGACTTGAGACTGGAAATTTGATTTGGGACTTAAAATAAGAAAAAACCCAGTTAGCTAGGAACCAAGAATAATATATATATATATTTTTTGGATCAATAACTAGAAATCATTAGATTAAAAGAATTTAGTTACAGCGCTCCAAAGAGAGATAAACAGGCTAAACTCTCTCTGGGAAGATAACTAAAAGGAAAAATTTACAGAACAGCCCAAAACATTTGATCCCTTCCCACCCCCTGCTTTGCCAAAGCATCAACAAATGCATTTTCTGTTCTCTTGACCCACTGAAACTTGATTTCCATTCCTCTAGTTAGCCACTTAATCTCCCTCCTCTCATTAGCATATTTCCAAAGTCCACTACCTTCTTGTAACCAACTTAAGACCAGCTTTGAGTCCCCTTCAATGACTAACTTTTGTATATTCAGTTCCTTAGACTTCCTTATATCCTCCAGTACTGCATAGACCTCAGCTTTGAGAGAGTCTCCAAACCCAATGGAACCTGAATACAAAGCGAGCATCTTCCCACCCTCATTTCTGAAAACCCCTCCTACACCTGATGGACCTGGATTTCCTTCACTACTTCCATCGAAGTTTAGCTTTATAAGTCCACTTCCTGGTGGTGACCACACAGGACAAACTAAAGAGCAAGCAGGAGCAGAATTTGCCACCTCCAGCCAGCTATTCAGCAACATATCCGTAGAAATATCGACAAATAGGTCCAAGGATTTCAGCCAATGTACCACCCTCACTAATTACTACTTCAATAAGACATTCTTTACTTCTTTCAATTTCAGAGAAAATTCTGGTGTTCCTTTCCTCCCAAAGAGTCCAACAAACAGCAGCCCTCACACATTTCCACATTATCCTTCCCCTTTTGTATGGCCAACCAAAGAATGAGGGGCTAAGCAAACTTTGAATGTTTGGCGGTGGGGTCCACCTGCAACCAAAAGAGGAAAGAAACCATTCCCAAAGATTAGTAGTAAAGGGGAAAGAAACTAATAAGTGGTAGGAGAGAACCAAGAATAATATATATCCTACTTAACTTAGGATTATGAGACTGACCTACTAACTCTTGACTTGCTAACACAACTCCTAACTTGGTAAGCTAACTCCTAATGCACTTTGGAAAACTATTAATAATTCAATAATAATGACTCAGCCAGTGTGAGCCTGTCTTATACTGCTGGTCCCAGGCTCAGATGAAGGAGTAAGGTTGGGTCAAGTTGGCAGCCTGCACCAAAACTTTTGCCGAACTGCACTGATTATAGATGAATTGATTAAACATATTCAAGAGGAGGCCCCATGGTGCATGTTATTTGCTGATGACATTGTTTTAACTGATGAAACTAATTAAGTTTATGGGCAAATACCTTAGGAACAAGAGGTTTTAAAATAAGCCTAAAGCAGATTATATGATTTGTAAATTTAATAATAATAGGAGTGCGAATCCGGGTACAGTTAGGCTCTGTTTGGGAAGAGAGCAAATGCTGATTCAATGCATATACACACTCCGGTTAGGGATGCAAACGGCTCGGGGCGAAACACAGTAGGTCCAATTGGATCTCATAAATACCGATTTGAATTCGAATTCGATAAAGATGTCAGATATCTGAATTTGATCCGATCCGAATTAATTTAAAAAAATAATAAATTATTAAAAGGAAAAGAAAATACAACTGTTCAAGTTTATGGACAAGTACCTTAAAAACAAGAGGTTTTAAAATAAGACTAAATATTTGTATTTGCATTCTTCCCAAATGGAGCCTTAGTATTGTAGAGCACGAGATAATTCAATGTGGCTTTTTTCTGTACCTTGGTTTAATAATTCTTAATAAGGAAGAAATTGAGGAGGAATGTCGCCGATGGGATAGACGAATACTACTTAGATTAAAGGACAATTCTATAAACAGTTGGAAGGCCAACTATGCTGTATGGAGCAGAGCATTGGGCAGTCAAGAAATATATCCAAAAACAATGAGTGTGGCAGAGATGTGTATGCCATAGTTTTCAAGACGCTAAGGCGATGCTAGGCAACAGGGAGCACTTAATTGCCTAGTCTTAGGCAGTCAACTAGGTGTCGCCTAGTGTATCAGATGTAACCTTGCTTTTCCTAGTATTTCAAGGTTTGTGTCTCAAAAATAACCCTTCTCTTCCTAATGTTTCAAGGCTTGCCTAGGAAAAGAAGGGGCTAGACCTTTGTTTTTGTCATAGAAAAAAGAAGAAAAAATCAGAAAAATAAGCAAAAAGGAAGAGTAAGCACCTGTTTTTGACTCAGAAAAGAGAGAGCAAAACCCTCAAAAATGATGAAGGGGCAAAGCCCCTGTTCTTGTCTCAAGAAAAAAAAAGAATGCAAGAAAAAACATTGAAGGCAGAGCCCCTGTTCTTGTTTCAGGAAAAAGATAAGATAAAAAAACATCAAATGAAGAAGGAGAAGGGGCATAACCCTGTTTTTGTTTTTATTCCAAAAAAGGAAGGAAAAGAATCAGAAATTTAAGAAGCAGAGAGGGTTATTTCCTATCTCAGAAAAAGGTGCTGACCAAGGATAAAAAAATTGCAACGTATCGGGGCGTACCGGGGGCTTCCCGATACACCCCTATAGGGGAGTTTCAAGTCAGACCCTGGTTCAGGGGGTAGAGGGGCCTTAAACCGACCTCTCTGAACCAGATTGAAAAGAAAAAAAAAAAAAAAAAAAACTAAATAAAAGGGGGTAAGCGAGCCACGATACAGGCTGATACGCCCCTACCAGCATATCGACCTGTATCGATATTTTGAACCTTGGTGCTGACAGCAAGAAGAAGAAAAGTAGAAAAAGAAGAAGAAATCAGCAAGGAGGAGGAGGAGGAGGAGGAAGGGGGCTTGGTTGGGGGTCCAGGGGCTCCTAGCTGCTAAGCATATAAAAAAACAGAAAAAATGCACAAATTTTCAAAAGGCGTGTGCCTGGGCTGAAGTGCAAAGCACATCAGGCGCACACCTTTTGAAAGTGCTGCGCTGGGATCTAGGCAAGGTGCTTACCCTAAAATGCACCTCAAAAAGTTTATCCTTATCATCACTTACAGAAAAAAATGAGTATCTCTATATACAAATTGAAAACTAACTTCATATAGTTTTAGCCAATATGGTTAGGTTAGGGATGCCTAGGTGTTTTGGCCTGGCAAAAACTAGTTGTTGTCTCAGCAATAAAAATAAATAAATAAATAAATAAATATAAACATATATTATGATGCATGTATAGAACCACATATAAGTATTTTATAAATGCAAGTTAATTATAAATCAGAAATTAAATCAGTAAATTACAACTTACACAAGGTTTTCAGAAAAAAATGACAAGATTCTTGAAGGACTTCCCCAATTCAAAGGAAAAGATACATGCCCATAAAGATTAAGAGCCCTAATTATCAACTCAAAGTGGGATACACACACCCATAAAAGGGCGTAAAATTAGCTAGCCCCTCCCTAATACCACCCACTTTGTTGGTTGCTAGGTGATGACCATCCAGAACACCTAGTTAGTTGCCCAGTTGATGCTTAGGCAACACATTTACTACATTGGTTTAAACATACTAAACTATAGATCTCTTCGTAAATAATTTGGAAACATTTTTTCAAAAGTAGTCAAAAAAGACCATTTACATGAGATGTACAAAAGTAGGGGCTAGACACCAAAAAGACCAAAAGTGAAAAGCCCACCAAAGAAACAGGTAAAGTATTTACACTATACGAAAAATTAAAAAATAAAAAATAAATAAAACTCTTTCTGATCTATAGATTTAGCTAGAGAGTCAGCCTTTTGGTTTAATTCCCTTTTGACCCATCTATATCTGCAGATTAGGGACACTAAGATATTCCTAATTTCATTAAGGAAATGAGCAGTCCTCCATGGGCCAATACCGGACCAGTTAACCCAACCAATCACATTCTTAGAGTTCCCTTCAACTAGAAGAAAGTCAGCTTAGATAATGTGGCAATCCTTAAGGAAATGAACAAGCCTGGTCAGTCACTATATGAACAGTGTCACTGCAAAATTTTCCTCTGATGCCAACACTCGTGTCTCCACCCGAGTAGTGGGAACTTTTGGTGTCAAGCAAAGGAGATGTAATTTGAGCCATCAATGGTGAAGGAAATCTTTGCGGAATTGAGCGAAGGTGCTCTTGGGTGAGATGGTTAGAGAAGTGCCTGGTCACTCGTTTTATTTCTGAACCTGACAAAGTGGAGGATCTGAGATGGGTCAGATCAGAGTGGAGTTTGACAGAAGATGTTCAGGTACGAAAGCTAAATGCAGGTTTCTTTCTTTTTATTTTCTGCAGTAAAGAAGAGGCAGATGAAGTCCTGGATCGAGAAACTGCTAAGGTTAGGATGCCAGATTGCAAGCGGGGTAGATGAAATCCGCTAGTGGGGGCAATATGAGAAGTGGGGAGTAAAAGCATTGTGTGGATTAATGCCTTTGGGATTCCTCCCATGCCTAGAATTTGAATGCATTCTATGCAGTGGGGAATGCCCGCAGTTGCTTCAGAAGAATTGATGCTTGCACATACAAGTTGAAGAATCTGGTTGTGGCAAGAATCCTGGTCGAAATTGGGAACATACACTTGGTCCCTTTGAGTCTGGCATTAAACTTTGCAGGGGAGTGGTATGATTTGAGGTTGGTGATTGAAGGTTGCATCCCACTCCGTTGGTTAGAGGAGGATTCAGTGGTTATGCCAAGTCGAACACAGGAATTTGATTGTTTTTGAAGAGGAAAAAGGTAGCCGTTTGGGCAAGAGATCAGGAGTTTGGGGGAGGAAGATGATGGGAGTCGAAGAGTTGGGCAGCTGGATGGTCATGTGGAGGAGAGAGGGGAGGATCTGGAGAGGTGCAGGTAAAAAAGGAATTTCTTGGAAAAGAGATGAGAGGTCTTTAGTTAAGGAGGAACCTGTGGTGGGAGATATTAAGAAGGGGGATGATTTCAAAAAGGTTAAAGGGACCTTTTCGAGATTGAATGGGGAGCAGTTTAAGAGTGGGACCCACGTGGTTAGAAGGAAAGTGGTTCTACCTTTGTGTGGTTCCCAAGTGACAGTAAAGAGTTTGTTGAATTCTAAAAGCAAAGTGTTAGGTGTGAATTATTTGAGTAATTTTAAGAAGTGTGGGCCTGCATTAAAGGTAGAGGCATAATTGGAGCTTGAAGGGGAAGAAAAGAGAGAAGATTTAAGAGAAGGCCTTGGGTGGCTTACACGTTTCATAGAAAGAAAGTTTCAATTGCTGGTTTATTGGAGGTTGTTGTTTCTGATGATCAAGTATATGGGATTTGCTCTGTGATTTCTGAAGGTAAATCAAGATCTAAGAAGCCTCTCCAAGCTAGGTGGGGTCAAGTTCGATGCTCTGCCGCTTGAACCAGTTGAAGGTATGCAAGGTCCAAACCCTTTTTCTTTTTCCATGTTGCAACAGGAAAGTAGGGGTGTTATTGTTGTCTCCCAGGAAGGATTTTCAGAGGGGGTGGAGTTGGAAGAAGGAGATGTAAGCGGAGTTAGGTGGAGGCGGTTGAAGAGGGGGTGAACAACGAGACCAAGGACAGGGAGGATGGAGGAGGGAGGTGACAAGGAAGAGGGAGCTGGTATAATAGAAGGCAAGGGAGAGAAGGTGAGTGAGCTTGAAAATTTGAATCAAGACGCTTTGTTTGGGGACGATTCTGACTACTTGGTATCTGAAGTTGTTGTTGGAAGATTGGGAGTTGATTTGGGCCACAGGGGGGAGGAGACTATTTTGGCTGGAAGTGGTGATGTTTTGGAGGTCCCAAAGAAGTCTAGAGCTACAAGCAAGCTCAACGTGGTTCGTGTTACGAAAGTCTTTTCAAGCTAAAAGATGGACTGGTGGGGGCAGGGACGACAAACAAGTATAAAAGGATTTATAAAGAAGAGTAAAACTCAGAACTCTGAGTCTTGAGAATCCTCATTTTTAAAATGACTCCTCCAGTTCAATGGGAGGAGTCAAAAAAGATTGGCATGTCAGAGAAAGCTAGTAGGGATGGAATTACAATGGAAGAGGTCTCTGCTAAGGTACTACCGGAAGGAAAGGAATTGAAGAAAGGAAGCGTGGACTTGAAGACCCTAGTTGATAAAGAGGTGGAAATTGTAAGTCTTTGGGCTTGTCTCTTTAGGAGGAGAGACCCTAGTTGAAGTGTTCAAGTGGAAGAAGGAAGGAAGTTTGAGGAAAGCTTTTGAAGCGTTAGGGGGAGAAATTTGTGATGAGGAAGGAGGCCCGGAAGAGTTTGGTTGAGGTGGAAGATTGACCTGAGCCTAATAGTTGCTTTGTAGGTGCTGCGGTTGTTGTGCAAGAGGGGTTTAAATTCTTGCTTTTACCCTGTTTGCTATTTGTGGCGGTTGGTGTTGTTATTGGGTATGGGGAATGTTATTTTAAGTTTTAACACCTGCCTTTAGGTTGTATTTAGTTTTTTCTTCTTTTTTTTTTATCAATACAGTTTTTTCTTTTATTTAATATAATTTTCTTTTTACTTATTAATTGGTCAATTTGAACAATTTTATTGCCTTTCCTTTCTTTCTTAGAAAAATAAGGTTTCAAAATTAAGAAAAAAAATGTATGGTCTCTCTATGAACAATTTTATGTATGGCTGCCCAAGAAAAAAACATCCCATAATTTTCTTAACCATCACAGTTACTTCACTACTCTTGTGTTCAAATATACGAGCATTTCTCTCCCCCCAAATGGCCCAAAAGACTGCAGTCAGGACCAACTTCCACATAATCTTGTCCCTCTGACTCAGGCCCCTCAACTGCCAAGCTTCTAGGAATTCTCTTGATGCTTCTGGAAAACAGCAGGTTTGTATCCTAAATAAATAAACCCAAGGCCTTCGCCAACACCTCAACAGCAAACCTGCATTAAAAGAAGAGGTGATCAGCTGTCTCTATACAGATATCACATAAAATACAGTTTGGATTGTCTACTATCATCTCTCTCTTCAACAAGTTGTCAGTAGTGAGGTGATCAACTGTCTCTAGGAATTATCTTGATGCTTCTGGAAAACAGGTTTGTGTCCTAAATAAACCTAAGGCCTTCACTAACACCTCAACAGCAAACCTGCATCGAAGGAATAGGTGATTCTGATCCAACTGTCTCTATACAGCTATCACAGAAAATATAGTTTGGATTGTCCACTATCATCCCTCTCTTCAACAAGTTGTCTGTAGTGAGGCTACTGTTATGCACTTCTACAAGAACAATATCATTGACCATGGAAAACTACTATCGCTCCTTTGATCCAAACCCCTGTAGAAAGACTTCACTGAGAAAATCTTTGATCCATCCCATGCTCAAATCCTTTTCTGCTGATACCTGTCCTGCTTATGTTAGCATTCCTTCAAATTCTTTTTACCAGTGCAATCTTTGATCTTCAATGCAAACCATTTAACCATTCCAACAGACTTATCCTCCTCATAACACCTTCCACAATAAATAAAATTTATGGTGACCACCCCTCCACCGCGAGTAAATTTTGTGAACCAGAAAAAGAAAAAAAAAATAGTCTCCTCATGATACCTACTGAGGCTACTCTTAGGTTTCACTAAAATGCATTAGTTTTTAATTTTATCCTTCTTTCTGTGGCCCTTACCAGCCAAGGATTTCAAATTGAGATTGAACATGTTACAAAGTGTAGCATACAGGTTTTCATTAGGTAATTAACTTCCTATGGTGTATGGTCACGGTTAGAAGTAATTAATAAAGTTATGTCAAGCAATCAAACAGTGTCCTATTGCTGTTGAAGTGTTGATTCTTGTCTACTTGGATTAAAACCTTCCTTGTCTTCAATCTCTTCATACATTTATCTTTTTGCTGCTGTAGCAGTTCTTTTTGTCTTCAAAAACAAAACCATACACATAGGCGAACACCCCTCCCCCAGCTGTAAACCTAAGTGCATTTTCAGGGATTGACAAAGATACACCCCCAAGAACCCTTCTCTTCTCATGTTTTCTATGTGCAATCCAATATTTTAAGGCATAAATTAATCGTGCAATGCATAAAACTACGATTGAGATTTTGGAGTAGTGAAACTACAGAGTTGAAGAAATGTAGAAAAGAAGCTAAACAAAGAAAACATGAATCATAACAAGCAAAATCAGACGCACCTGAGCCTCAGTTCTAAGAGGAATGCGATGGGATCATCCCAGTCTTCCTCGCGTAAGCAAAAATTCCTCCAGCCTCAATAACAGGCCCCACATCTCCAATCGGTTTCAACTTGTACTCCTTCCCAGTAGTATGATTATTCAATAGGTTCTTAGAAATCTCGATAGTGACCACATCTCCAGTGGAGCACTCTTCGCACAACCTAACCTCCGACTCCACCGGGTAAATCTCGCCTGTCGCAACCGAGTTCCTGAAGAATATCCTCGCATAGGACTCGGCCACCACTGCCTTGACCCCAGAAGCACCAAGGGCAACCGGTGCATGCTCCCGAGACGATCCGCAACCGAAGTTGTCGCCAGCTATGATAATTGAGAAGCGGGATTTATCTTCGCCAGGCTCGACGAAGCGGGTGGTGTATGTGGAGGGGAGCCCGACGAGAGAGTAAGATCCAAGTTTCCGATACTCGTCGGGGTTGGAGGGCACAAGAGTAAGATGCTCCGCGGGGATGATTTGGTCAGTGTCGATGTTATCACCGACAACATAGCAGACACCGTGGAAGGTGTTAGTTGTGGAAGAAGGGGTGCTAGACGCACGCAGAGGGACTAGATATGAAGGTGGCAATGGAGAAGCCTGCTTGAGTGGGGTTTTGATCAAATAGGTGGTAGGCGTTCTGAAATTTAAGCTTGAAGCGTTAGTTAAGAGAGATGGCGTACGTTTCGAGGAAGAAAGAAACGTTGTGTATGCAATTGAAGCTGTAGCTGCCGAGGCAGTCGTCGCCATGGCCTCTGGTTGAAGACTGGGAACAGAACACAGAACCTTCTGCCAAGTTCCGAAGTCCACTACGGTAGCAAAGAATTATCGGTTTTAGGTTTCGCACTTTCGCCTGTTCTGAGCTACGTGTCACAGAGTGCCGAGCGGTTTTCAATGGGTCGGTTCTACCCGACCGACCGAACCGATTATGTGATTTTGTTCCGATTAATAATTGGGTTGGTTCTAATTATGGCCTGGTTCGAACCGATTCTGTTCTAAACAGATTATTTTGTTATAATATATAAAGACCTTTTTTTATTCTATCATAGTTTTATGTCCGATAAATTTAATAGATAATATATAGGATAATTTTGATTAAAAATACTTAATTTATTAACATATAAATAGTTTTTTATTTTCTTATCATTTTTGTTAGAAGTTATATCATGAGAAATCAAGTTTTTTAAGTTGTTATTTACATAATAACTATAGATGTTGGGATAATCGGGTCAAACCTAATTATCTCGATTAATAATTGGGACAGTTCTGGTCTTGGTTTTGTCTTGGTTCAGGAATAGAACAGGCTATCCTGAGTCCTGACCAAATCTAACCCATTGACCACATCCCTAGTCTGCACCAATATTGAGGGGTGTTGGATACATGTTGCCTTGCATTTTCGGTTGATCAATACAGTGGTGTTGTGTTGCCCTGTTATACAATGTTTTAAAAATCGGATTGGACTGAACGGTCGGATAGGAAAACTCGGGAACCCATTACCTCATCGATTTCGTTGTATCCAAAATGTTATTTGGCCAAAAATCATTGATTTGGTAAGTAAATTATTGAATGGTTCGATTTAGGAATGATTTTTTGCCATTTTTTAGGCTTTTAATTTTTTTTTTTAGAACGATTCAACCTGGGAACCGGACCCAGAAAGGTTCTCTATTCGGTCCGGTTTTAAAAATCTTGCTCCCTATATTTTCCTTCTGTGTTCATTAGGTTTTTCTCCTTTTCTCATAATTATCTCCCTTCCTTTCTAGTTATGCCAGGGGATGAACTAGAGTCCCAGTTTTTTGAATGCCACTTACTAGTTTGTTAAGAGAGGTTATTACTACACAGAAAGATTTTCTCCAAAGAAATGAGTGGAGAAGGAGCCTTGTCTTCAGTTCTATTATTTAGAATTGAGGTTCAAAGTATCGATACGTATTGTGTTGATGGCTTCCTGATACGCCCTTATAGGGGTTGTATCAGGTCAGACCATGATTTAGAGGGTAGCCGGGACTTAAACCAACCCTTCTGAACTGGTTTTGAAAAAATATAAATAAAACTTAAAAATAAACACCGATATAGACCAATCTAGGGTTTAAGGAGCCTGTGTAGGTTTACTTGGATCAATGGATGACAATTAGATTAGTTAATCTGTGAAAGGTTGGACCAAGCTTTAGCATCAATAGACTGATTACAGTTCTTTCATTCAGCCTTGGTCCAACATTTATCCATTGTTCATACTAGTAAGGGGGGTGGGGAAGGTATCCAGTGCACTTTGAAAACTCTTAGACTAGGGGTGAAACTTAGGCAGGTGGGGTCAAGTTGAAGGTCAACCCAAGCCTAACCCTAAAGGTGCAAACCTTAGGCTCGGGCCTGGCCTAACCCAAGGTTAAGCCTAAGTTTATCAACCTAGGTCCAATCCAAGCTTAATCTAACACAACTAAGGTTGGGCCTAGCCAAGTTAATAGGGTTTGGGTAGGTTGATTGGGTTTTAAAGAATTCATGTATATACTTTTATATAGTCATATTTTATTAGGCTTTATGGCCTAATTTAAGAGTAGAATTGATTGAAAATATGTATAATTTCATTTTCAAATGGACATATACATACTTTATACATATACACATTACATGTATACATAATTAGAAAAAATATTTTTATATAAGTATAATATATGTATGTATGTACTTTTTCAGGTGGGCTCAAATTGGGTCGGGCCTGAGTTTTCTGGCCCAGGCCAATTTGTAGCTCAGAAACTTTGGCCCAACAACCTGTGCAAAAACTTGAGTTGGGGTCGGTTCAGGCTCGGGTTGGACCCACGCAAGTTGCACCCCTATCTTGGACTGGGCACCTAGATTACTGTATGTTACGAAGAATGCTTGGCCAAAGTCTACAAATTTAAACAATGCCAAGATGGGTTACACTCTTGGAGTTGCACCAATTTGGGGGGCTAAAAACAAAGTATAGTTTCCAATTTCCATTTGGACTAAGTTGTAGGAAATACAAAGTGGGTTTTTTTTTTTTGAGAAGCAATACAAGGTGGTGTTAGAGATGAACAAAACATTATCAAGGAATGAGAACTCGATCTGTTAGGCTTAATTTAGAAAGAGTACAAATATAAATATGTACAGTATAAATACACACAAAATAATATAAAATACAAGGTTTTGCACTCTACTTATTTGTATTTGTACTTCTTCCAAACTGAGCCTTAATAGAACTAGAACAACTACTTAAAATGGAAAAGGGTCATTGAAAGCAAAGTTCGATGTGTTACTAGCTCACTAGTGGTAGTGGGGACTGTAATACGGGCTTTTATCATAACTATGCATCCACCAAGAGAAGAAAGAACCTTATTCATTGGTTTCCATCGGTTGGATTATGGAACATGGACTAGTGACTCTCATGAAATAGGTCTGATTAATATCTTCTCTACTATTAACTCCTACAGGTATTATGAAAGAATAAAATGATTGTTGCTATCCCAACTACTGAAAAAATAAGGGTCTGTTTGGTTTGCAATCGGAATCTTTTGGAATTGGAATAAAAAATGATCAATTTCCATAGTCTATTTGGTTCAAACAGGAATGAAAATAGAAATAGGAGTCAGCAGGAATGAGATTTCATTTCTAAGGGAAGGACAAGGAATAACCATTTTCTCAAATGGGGGAATGCCATTCCAATAAGAATGGGAATGGGATTCCGATTCCACCTAACCAAATATTTAGAACTGGAATAGCCCATTCCAATTCCGATTCTAAACCCTTATTCCCATGAACCAAGCGAGGCCTAAAAGATGCTTTGTTTGATATTGGGCCCTGGGCTCCTATCCCAATCTTATCTCCTTCTGTAAAGATCCTCAGCTCTTATTCTTCACCTACGAAGCAAAGCATCACTGACATTGGGAGATCTGAAATGTCTTCTATCTCAACCAAAATTCTTGCCAAGTTAAATTTTCCCACCTCTTCACCTACACCACGCATGAAGTGGAATGCCTAGGATCCCAATTCACATCGCTTTCCTTTCTTCTCACTTTTTGAATCATCCCTAATCTTAAATCGTAGTTTATATATGTTCTTTCTCTCTTCTATAGCCATCACCCACTAGATCTGTGTGATTTATGTCATGGAACATAAACAGAAACAAGCCTCCATTCAGTTTCCTAACACCCATAATCCTTTCCTTCCCCATTCAAATCCCGCCCAAGTTTTCACCTTCTCTTCATCTAAATCTAGGCCAAGCATGCTCGCATTTAGAATGTTCAGGCTATGTTTAGTTTGAAGGAAAAAATAGAGAAAGGAAGGGAACAGTAAGGAAACCTATAGAAAGTTTGTAAATGATTCCCCTCCTTTCCCTACTTTTGTCTTCAAACCAAACACAGCATTAGTCTCTGGCCAAGCTTCTCTATTCGTCTCGCCTCAACTTCCACCACTTTACTAAATTGTTGGTATTCTCCATCTTTGAATGCTAGCAATTGAAGATGCTAATTGGACCTCAGTTATTTGTCAGGTACTTATTGTTTTTTTTTTTTTTCTTTTATAGGATGAAACTTGAGTTGGAGTTGGGTTGAGGCATCGTGTACTCCAAGCCCGACCAACCTACCTAAGCCTACATGAAAGGGTGCATAAATACACATGTTATGTATGTTATCCATATAGAACCATATTTTGTTTTTTCTACTCATATATATACATACAGAATGACACCCATAGAATCAGAGTAAGATGGGCAACAAGGAAGGACACCCATAGAATCAGAGTAAGATGGGCAACAAGGAAGGGTGCACATGGAGTCATATATGATAGGCAAACACCACTTGATTAAAAGAAAAATTTTATAAAACAATTATAAGGCTAGTTATACAGTATGGAACAAAGTGTTGGAGAATCAAGAAACATCAGGTCCAAAAAACATTTACGGCAAAGATGTAAATGTTTAGATAGATGAATGAAAAAATAAAGAAATGATATGATAAAATCTGAGGTCATTTGAATGAACATAAGAGAGCTCCTATAGGTGATAAAATGAGAGAAAATAGATTTAGATAGTTTGATTGTGTGCATGGAAAAAAGTAAAAAGTAAAAACTGTAAGAAGAAATGATTTGTTTCAAGTTGAAGAGGCTAAAAAAGGGTACAGGGTAGATCGAAAGACATCGATAGAAATAGTAAGAAATGATTAATCGCCAATAATATGGCATTAAACAAAACATAATGGTAACACTGTATTTATGTAGCCAATCCCATATAGTTAGGATAAGGCTTAAACGATGATGTTATATGTATGTATGTATGTATGTATGTATGTATGTATGGATGGATGGATGGATGGATGGATGGATGCACATGCATGCATGCATGTATGTATGTATGTATGTATGTATGTATGTATGTATGTATGTATGTATGTATGTATGTATGTATGTATGTATGTATGTATGTATGTATNTATGTATGTATGTATGTATGTATGTATGTATGTATGTATGTATGTATGTATGTATGTATGTATGTATGTATGTATGTATGTATGTATGGATGGATGGATGGATGGATGGATGCATGCATATGGATGTATGTATATATGTAAAGGCAATTTATTATGAATTTTGATAAGTGCTGCCTTATTGGTCATCACTTTTATGATAATGGTACATTAATTTTGTGTTTTTTTTTTCCTGGTATCATAGTTGAATCCAGGTATAAAATGTGCATGTATGTATTAGCCAAGTGCATTTTGTTCATAATTTTGGTACATTATACTCCTAAATTGGGTGTTGGCTTATGGCAATGAAAAGTTATATTAAGTCAATTACATTATAGAATATTGTTACAAAA